CCAAATATGCTACATGCATGTGTACATTTGTATTGTTAATGGAACCTAGCTTATCATTTGAAACATGTACATATTAAAAATTTTCTTATAAATGAGAAGGTGTCAATCCATTTAAAGATTTGAATACAAAAAGAGCTTTCTGATATTTAACTCGTTTGTCAATATGAATCTATTTTAAACTATTAAATATAAATGTTGAAGTTGGCATTATATCAGCTTCAAAAATAGCACTTGCTTACTTATTTAATCATTTGTATATCTTTGCTGTACAATATACTACAACAATAATCAAATATTGGTAGAATATATGCATTGAAATAAATAATTCGTACGTACATAGGGAGATACTTGCAAATCTTAAGCAAGAAACCAAACTAGTTAGTCGACCACAAACTGACAATGTCATCATGGCAAAAATACTAAAACTGATCAAACGGCAAACAGTTTACAAAACACAACATAGAAAGCTAAAGACTGAGCCACACGAACCCCACAAAAAACCCGCCGTTGATCTCAGGTGCTGCGGAAGGATAAGCAGATCCTGCTCCACATGTCGCGCCCATGTTAGTACTTTTCGGTTATAAGTCTCAATCAGTAATCTCACATTTGAGGAAAAGGGGACGGAACTGTGGTTACTATCGGAACATAGTTACATCGTCATCTGTGAAATAGAAAGATAGAGTGTATAATATTTTGATGAAGAAATATCGTCACTCACTTGCATCTTTCTTAGAATCTTAATTTTTTTTCAACTTCAATATAGATAAATCGAAAATTTTTTGTGTAAAATTACAACATATTTGTGATACGGTACAACAATATAAAAGGAAAATCGTACATTTACATTGGAGCTTTATCTGTCAGAGAGAAGAATGAATATACAACATATATGATAAACCATTTCTTGTAAGTCAGAAAAAATCGTTTAACTTTTGTAGATTCAATTATTCTCATGACGCAGATATGGAAATTTTGATGTTTAACAGTAAAACGACCTTTGAATTGATTTGTAGCAAAAATATGTCATTGCATACATAAATACAATTATTGAAACCATATTAGTTTCGTCTATAATGATGAGTTTGAATGTATTTATATCCAGATAAATTTGCATTGTAAAATTCGGATGTATTATTTAAAACCAAAATTTAATGAACGTTTGACATCAATTGGCTCTTCAAAAAGTATCATAAGTTCAACGATTGGTCGATTATAAATGATTTAAGCGCTTGGGAATGTAATGACCTGCTGATCGCTTTAATACAGAAGCTTCTGTTTTTCATGTAACGTTAATTTAACTTGCGACAGGGACACAATCATGTACGGTTATAAATATAAACATTATTCCGCTGTTTTTGCGATTAATACTTCGTGTGACAAGATAATTAACTGCTTTCGTTGTCTATAATTGTTTAATCTTGATCTGGATAGTGTCTTTATTGTTATATTCATTATGCTGTATTCGACGATTTAGATGGTTTTTTTTTATTCATTTTGTAAAATAAAAGTTTTTAAAGCACCCAAGGAACTGATATAAGTATTTGTTGCATTGATAAAGTACCACCATGAACGAAAGATATTTTTTTTTTAAATTTGATGATATGGATGGAAACTACAGCCTAGTATATAATCGGAAATTGATACTTTGTATGTGAATTTGAAAGGCGGGTGATGAATGCATAGCAAGAGACGCTTGTGTAAAACCTGTCGACGCACCTGGTTTCTTTTGGAGTTCATGCGATTCCCTTACTTTTTTTAAATTAATTTGTCTTTTTTAAATCGATTAATAACGTCTGTCTTTTAAAGCATTTTATGGAAACTATATGCAATATAAAAGCCATGTATCAATCCTGATTTATATCTACCGAAGTCTTTCTGATAATGTCGTAAAATTAATGACACTATAAAAGAGGGACGAAAGATACCAGAGGGACAGTCAGGTGCTAGCCGGATATAGACAAATGCCAGCTCAATATAGATTTAATACGTATAACATGTCTTATTATTTAATTAATCAGAGTAGGCCGATGTGTTATTATTTTATATCTTTTAAGGATCCATGGATCTGCTTATAACGGAAAATAAAATTATTAAGCCTGTCTTGACGTAAAATTCCTGGTGGTAATATAAAAATATTAATGTCTGATTACAATTTCTGCTATTTATGTGACTGTATAAAAGCATGTTATTCAAAAATCTGCAGCACAAAAATGATGTACAGGAAAATGAGGCATATGATAAAATGGAGATTGGGACAATCCAACTTGTAAGACATTATCATGTTTTCTAATCATTTTTTGTAAAGATTTACAGCATTTAGTCATAAACAAACAGGTCAATTCTACTCAAATTTACAGAAGACTTACAAATTAGTCTGTCAATAGGGAAGACATTATCACTCCAGTCATTAACTTACCACGTGTGCACAGACAAACCATTAAATCAACAATGATCTAGGATTTTAAAATGTATTGCTTTCAGACAAACGAACCACAAAATATGTTAAACTTTAGTAAACTTGGTTTATATAGTATTATTTAGTTGGTAAATATTTGTACCCCATATTTTGAAGAGCCATTTTTAGTATAATATAATTTAAAAGGGTTTAATATACTTATATGTTGGCATTCCACAATGTCATGCTTTTCTCGGGCTGTTTATGACGTTTGAATACTAAATCTGTTGGATGTGTACTAATTGATACTTTATTCTGGGAAACATGATTTATTCATCAGTTGTTATTGGCTTAATTAAAACCAATAATTGCGAGGAGTGTAAGATCGGTACTTTGTTAGGTCTTTTGATTTTAATTTAAATGTTATTTTTGTGTTATTTATTCGTTCCGATCTGTAAGTCACGTGATTTCTAGCTGATTTTTATAGTTTTTTTTTTTTTTTTCAAACCACTGTCTCAGGTTAATTAGGAGAGAGATTAAACGCTCACAAACATATTTAACACAGCCATACTCTACACGTGCCTGTCCCAAGTCAGGAGCCTGTATTTCAGTGGTTGATGTTTGTTGTTGTTCGTCGTATTTGTTTGTAGTGTATTGTTATTGGTCGTTAAGCTTGAATTACTTCACATTTTGTCATGCGGGGAGCTTTTAACTGCTGACTATACGGTATGGGTTTTGCTTATTTTTGAAGGTCGTACATTAACTTTAAAATACTTAAATCAGCTTTATTTGGACATTTGATAGTCAGATAATTGGTATATTGGCAATCATACCACATCTCCTTATTCTATTTCAATGATTGTACTTCGGTTTTGATTTTGAGTAACGTCGATAAGACATATCGAGATTATAAGATAACAAAAACTGGCATTGACTGAAAAACTTATAACGAACGCCAAATCTCTTATAATTAACAAACTTTACAGCCACAAAAGTGTCACGTTAAATTTGATTAATGACATTGTCGTTCTTTCTGATGGAACTTTCGGATTTAATTTATTGCATAATATGTCAATTCAACTTAATTATGAATGATGTTTCATCTACAAGGAAAATGTCAACGTGATCATTTTCCGTGAGATGTCATTTTGATGTTATTTTTTCTGTATAATTGATCTAGCAATGATTTATAAAATAGGTTGTGGCACACGTTTAGAATAATTACGGTAACATCCGAATCCTTAATTAATATAACATGGATCTTTCAAATATTTCAATGAATAGTGACAAGGTTAGTGATTATCACGTGAACATAATTGAATTTATTGCAGTATTTTACAATTTATGTCATTGCATGAATATGTTTACTCTCTATTGCATCAACAAATTAATGTTCACGTGACTGAACATTATTTTAATGAAGAAAATTGAATGCAGGGCATATCATGCCAGAATTTGTAGTCCAATCTGTATTTAATGTACATATTTCAACCATGTTTTAACTTGATCAAATTGTTTGTCAAACTGAAAATTCTAGTTCCCCTCTCCTAACAAAAGACAAGTGGTTGGTGCCTAAATATTTACTGATCTCAATAAAAGACGGTTTCGCACTTACCCACCCCATCCTCCGTTATGAACTTATGTTTTCAAATACTCGATATACATACGAAAAACCGTGCTAAATGACCTGTCCTCAGAGACAGTAACGACAAGAAAGTCTTGGAAACATGTCCCTTTTGTTGTTGTTCGATTTCAAAAGCTTTTATAATACAAGAATGCATTTTTGAGTATATTCAAACAGAAGTCCTGCTTACTATAATTTTATTCTAAAATTAATCATATGTTATTACATGCCTTAGTGAAATTGTATCCCATGAAATAATAACAACAAAATGAACATACAAATCTTATTCTCCTTTATTATTGGAGAATAAAACAATATTGAAAAGCGGCAGGAGAAGTTAATAAAATTAGAAAATATAATATATCAAAATGACTAAATATGATAAGACCTGACAGCGACCGAGTAAGGCAATGCTATAAAATATATCTGGTAATAAATCTACTGTCTTAAAAGAGAGACAACTGTTTATAACATACATGTACGTTAAGATCTAAATCGCCCATCCGTGTTTAGAAACATTAACAAAAGTGTTTCTCCGATAAACAGTAGACGGTAATTTACAAAGAAATCACAAAAACTGAGGGTCATTGCATCATCGATAAAGAGGACAATGTCAGAATATCTGCATTTCATTCACACATTTATTCTCCTTTATTTCTCTTTTTTCTTGTTTTTTTTTGGGGCGGGGGGAGGGGGGTGTAATATACTTATATACACCATACAGAACATATGTACAGTCATAAATTCAACTATCGATTACATTTAAAAGTATTGGTAGTTTTGTTTATGCCAACAATATATATTTTTTTCAACAAAGTATACCCTAAGACAAAATAAGTTAAGGTTATAAAATATGAAATCGAACACACCTTTTGGCTTAAAGCGCTACAACTGAGTATCTTATACTCTTTTCCTATATTTGTTCGTTCAACTTCCGCTCTGCATATACTTGATATCTTTTATTCTTCTTTACAGATAGCTTCGACAAAATGGGAAGCAACCAGCCATCTGGAATTGAATTACACCAAGACTACCCAGAGATAGTCGTTGTGATATGCATGCTTGCTGTTTTCAGCATTCTCGGTACAATGGGGAATGCCTTTGTCATTTTCGTGTATTCAAGAAAGAAGGACAAATCAACAACAACAATATTCATCCTAACTTTGGCGGGAACTGACTTTTTTACTTGTTTGATAATTATTCCATTTACCATCGTTGTAGAGTATGTTGAAAAACAAATTCGATACGACAGTGCCTGTAAGATATATCAGTTCTTAATTACATCAAACGTACCATTTTCATCTTTTATAATGGTCGTTATAGCTTGCGACCGTTATATGAAAATATGCCGCCCATGGAATCAGACACTTGATACGAAAATGGCTAAGAAGATGATTATTTTCCTCTTTATGTTCGCAGTTATGTTAGGCATAATAATAGCTTTAGTTCATGGAATTCCTAATGAATTCTTTCTGAATGTAAACAAATCGCCTATTAATTTGACTAATGCTACTACAAACACATCCTTGCTAATGCCAGCGCTCGATACCAATATGGAAATCGACAGTAATTTGATAATGACAACTGTTCCACCTGTGACCGTCAATCAAACCAAATCGAATTATCTGCTTAACATGACAGCAGTACACACGACAGAAGATACACTATTCCTCAATGACTGGAATTCTAAGATTGAAAGGTTGTGTTTACCGACTGAAAAATACATAAGCTCCTCAGTAAGAAACATTTTCCAGAAATTGTATGCGTCTTTATTTCTCATATCTTTCATTCTGGTTGTGATTTTTTACACTTTGGTATTTCGATCATTAGTAATTAGACGAGCACGAAAAGCTAAGAAAAAGTCATATGTTGGCGATATTACTCTTGGACAGCATACGACACACCAGTTAATTACAACAAACACGTGTACAGTTGCAACAAAATCTACAATGACCGAAAACTTGGATGTCACAACCAATAACGATACATTAAAGAAACCATTACAATTAAATCGAACGCGGTCGAAACAAGAAAAAAACAGGTCAGCCAATATGAAAACAGCTGGTATTTTGTTTATTGTGACAGTAGTTTTTATCATTGCATTTCTACCTGCTTGGCTGATGGCAATGAGGGCTGTGAATGGAAATATTATTATATTTTACATGCATTTTAGCTACAACGTTGCAAATCCAGTCATTTACGCATTTTTCAATCAAAATTTCAGAAAGGATATCAAGAGAGACTGCAGTTTTCTCATAAGTTTTGAGAAACTGTCTACTGGTTAAACGATGCAAGTTTTATATTTGTATATATTTATATATATATTTGGTCAAACATATTATTAAAATTTTAGAAAAACAACACATAATGAATTGAAATTAATATAGTTCTAACAGTTTTATGCATTTGGCTATCCAAAATGTTGCTTTCATGATCAAATGACGAACGCACTGAAACTGATGTCATGCGTGTATATACATTTGAATGCATTAAGCATACATGTTACAAATGCGAATTGTCATGTAAACACAGCTGAGGCCTTTAAATTCGTAAATTAAAGCTTTTGCATTTAGTTCAGATAACTGCAATTGCATTTTTAAACCTTTGGATTTTTGGGGTTTCTTTTTTGCCGGTTGGGAAAGGGGAGATGGGTGTAGTTTGTCTGGTTGGGTGTTTTTACTTTTTATCTTTTTAATTTATTTTTGTTTAAATTTCGTATTTAAATCGTTTTACAATTTTTTTTCAGGGGAGATTTGTAAAAAAACGATGTTGAAATACTCACGTGTACGTTAGCAAAATTCGTTCAAAAAAAGTGGTAACGTGTCCTTTAAAAAAGTACAAACAGAAAGCTTTGTACGTACTAGTGGTTATTTTACACAATATGAAACATTTACCATGTACAGAAAAGAGGAGTGTTTGGACAATAGGTAAACAAGTGCCAATCTGATTAAGAATCAGGCAGTGGTAAAAAAAAATAACAAACAAAAACCTGCTCACCCGTTTACATTAATATAAGTTCAAAATGTATAATGGTTCACAAATATAACATTCGTTTTCTTTTCCTGTTCTGGTATTCCATGATATAATTTGGTTGAAATGCACTAGAAATTAACAATTAAGGAGAGTTCACTCCGTAATTTGCTATCATTTTAACCAAAAGTTATCTCGAGATTTCTCGAATTAAAGAAAGACCTACCATTTCTAACTCAGGATGAGGGTAACTATAAAATAGGATGGTTAGGTTTGCGGTTTTTTTTTTCTGTTTTGTTTCGAGCTTCTTCTTAATTGCCTGATTCTTACAAAGACTGGCACTAAATAATTATATAGTTGTATCCAGAATCCTGCTTGTTATCATTACCTTTAAGCTTAGTTTTTAATATATATTGAGATAAACATAGAAATTAGATAATCGTTGCTTATTTGAATAGCCAAGGAAAGCTTGAACCCATATTTTATTTAATATAGCTATATTTTAATACCAAGGTGAATGTATCTCATTTGGAACGTTCGATGCAGATTTCTGAATATACTTGCCCCCTTGGTATCAATTTCTTCATTTTCCAATTAGGAAGTTCAGAGTCAAATGATTGGACCACTTGGTATAAAGGAGTAACGTTCGTTGAAACGCTAATTAGATGCCTGTATTCAATTTGTGCAGCTTATCTTACAGTTTTAATGTACAAACACATCTTATGTTGTTGCATAAAAATGCATGTCTTTCAAGATGTATTCCTTTGATTTATGATAAAACGGGTTTTTTATCTCTCTCTCTCTCTCTCTCTCTCTCTCTCTCTCTCTCTCTCTCTCTCTCTCACACACACACACACTTTACGTCTCTTTTTTCTACCTTGTGTGTTCCAGTTTTGGTCATCCTCATCTATTTGAAAGGTGATCTCTTCAAAGGAATACCCTGGTTCTTAAAAAGTGCCTCGTCATAGACTATTTTCATATTACCGACTTTTGACTCGGATTGTTTAATTTTTCGACAGGTTACCTACTCTGTGGTAGGACATCCTGGTACTTGGTCAAGTAAGAGCAACCAAAAGAAGTAAAATCAAAACCATAATCGGTACAATTTGGGAGAGAAAGTTTACTCTTTTCTGATAGTTTTGTCGTGTATAGAAAACATAAAACAATTCATTTTCCATAAAAATTGTACCGATTGAAGGCTTGATTTCACTTTTTTACGTTGCTCTAACTTGAACGAATACCAGAATGTCCAACCGACAGAGTAGGTAACCTGTCGACAAAATATAAACTCCGAAGTCAAAAGTCGGTAATATGTAAATAGACTATTGGGATATTTCTTTCTATGGTACAAACGACCGATAATTATTTGATCGGATGTTGACATGTTTAATTTTGTTGTGGTTTCTCCAGCATATTGCAGCTTGCAAGTTCCATATGTTAGAACATAGCCGCCAACCAACGACAATCACCGAATAACAAGCTCTTGACTTGAGACAAGCAGATAAAGATTTAACGTGGCGGGATTAAACAAGTTTGTGAGCGCTCAATACTCCCCCTAATCTGGGACAGTGGTGTCACTTCACAACATAAGATCGTACGATCAGCACCTAGCACACAAAAATCCCTTACAAAAAGACAAATAACTCAATGTACCGATCTAAAAGACTACTCGCAGTTACAGAAAAAAGTAAAATCACAAAAATACCGAACTCCGAGGAAAATTCAAAACGGAAAGTCCCTATTAAAATGGCAAAATCAAAAGCTCATACACATCATACGAATGGATAACAACTGTCATATTCCTGACTTCGTACAGGCATTTTCTAACGTAGAAAATGGTGGATTAATGGTATCGAAAAGCTAGTTATAAGCCAATTTAACTCATAAATAAACCACGATAATTTCATGACTAAAATAATAATCAATACACAGTGTAAAGACGTCACGTCATAAACAGTCTGAGAAAAGCATGACTCTGTGCAATGACAAAATATCAGTAATAAAAGGATATAGAACCAAAAGTGTTCATAGTTTTTTAACAATAAAAACATTACAATTTGACCAAACATTGACGAGTTTCGTTAATCAACCTCCCACTCTTTTTATTTTTCAAATTGATTCCTTTACAGAATAATTATGTTCAAAGGATTAGTTAGTTTTTGCGCATCAAATCTAAATTAACGGGCTCCATGAACAGCATCACCGGAAATATGTGACGCGATGAGGTGAGAGTTTTCGTTCCGTGCTGAAGGCCTCACTGTGACTTTGAGATGAAGAACAGCAATAAAAAGATCTGTTTCTTTGCTTTTTTGTGTTTTTGCTATGCGTGTACTGATTTGGTTTCATGGATGGATACCCCATATCCTTCGTTTCTTTTATACGACTACATTAATATCGTATTTACTTTCACAGTTATTTAATAAAATCACATCACTTTAAATCTAAAAAAAAATTTAGCATCGTATCTGTAAAATTTAAAGTACATCCTCAATGTATAAACATTGTTGAAATTGACCTATATTTTTAGTGAGTTTAGGTTCGAATAGATTTATTTATCGCGAAGCGTAAGCACGACAAGGCAAAATCTAACTCAATTAGAGTACAATACTATTCCGTTATTTTGAAATAATAATGATAAATGATGTTAAATATCCTTATATTATCTTTTTGAATTGAATTTAGTAATGATGTTATGCCGATGTTGTAATTTGAATTTTAAGTACAGAGGATGCAACATTTTGCATAAGTTTTAAGAGGTTTTATAGTCGTTTTGAATTAATCTCAAATGTTTAAATAATATTTAATAACCTTTTTTATTAAATATTATAATAATATTACATAAAGATGTTGAGAGTGTGAATCTTATGTGAAATATTTGGCAGAATTGTTAGAGGTTTTATTCTTATGAAATAAAAAGTAATTCATATTTCATTTAATTTAAATATAATATTATTGACTTTGAGAGGCTTTCGTTATGTTTCTCTAAAACACTTGTTAGTATTCGATAATATAATGAGAAAGATTGCACTACAAACAAGAAAGCGGTTTGTTCAATATAAAATAGCACGAGTGCGTAGGTACTAAATATAATCTAAGAATATGAAATTGCTACCATTGAGGTAGTCTAAGGAATAACATGCCCATCTAAATTAAATATTTTTACTTGGTCCTTTTTCATAATGTCATCTTAAGTACAATCCACCAATTAGAACGAAGTTCGGTAATGGCATGAATAAGTAAAATACATTATTGTATTTAAGTTACTATATAGTATAATTGGTGTTTCGAAAAATTCTAAGTTTTGTAAACAGTTAGTTTATAATTATAACATGACCATATCAATGTTAATTCATGTCAACACAGAAGTGCTGACTAATGTGCTGGTGATACCCTCAGGGGAAGAAACCTCCACCATCAGTGGCACATACCCTGTGGTTGTAAATAATCTCATCATAGATACCAGCCTTAAAGATTTCTACGCCAGACGCGCGTTTTGTCTATCGTCCACATATTTCAAATACACCTTTTCCGTTTATTCAAAGAAATCGGAACAGAAGCGTAAATGTACAAAATACACGAAGAGACAATGTAAATCTACAAAGGCCAATCATTGATTATAGAATTTTTGGCACAAGAATCAAATTTTCTGGTTTGCCTATTCTTGTAAAGTTGTAAGTTGTCGTCGCCTCAATGTCATTGAAGCCTAATGGGCTGCATTTTAAGCGACGTCAATTATGTAAGACTTACATGTAAACAAGACTTTTATATTCCAAACTAAATAGTTACAGTAATGTTCTCAAAAACAATATTTATACTTTGTTAATCAAAAGAAATTCTTAAATAAGAACTTCAACAAGTGTTAAAAATCATCATATTAGTCGTAGAAAACAAAATCATTAAATAGCAATCAGTTAAAGATAATAAGAAATAAAAACAATTGAAAAAAGATAGATACAAAATAGCTTGTAAATAGTGTGACAGGACTTACAACTATCTATACTGACGGAAAAGGGAAAAAACAAGGATTTACATAAAAAAAAAAGAAAATAACACGTAATAAATTGCATGCGTCTGAAGCGTTTTTCTGGATTTACCTTCATCAGGAACGCTCATAGGCGAATATTTTAAAGCCAAGAATGTATAAGAACCGAAACAGTTGATGAGCTGTAAGTCCAAAAAGGACATAAAAAATAGTCCAATCCATCTAAGGTCAACTTTGCCTGAAGGAGTTGAAACCATAGAGATACAAATTGTGATGCAATTTTCCAAAATTCAAACAGAAACCAGCAAAACCCAGAATTCCAAAATCATTAAAGCAT